CTTAGATCAAATACATTCCTTGGATTCCCTTATTGCTTAAACACATAATACAATAAATAGTGATTAACAATAAGCTTTACCCTTCATTATATAATAGTTTAACACAATAAGTATTCCAAAAGCTATTACATCAATGAGTGGCTTTGTGAGCACACTTCCAACAATCGTCCCCAATGAACACAAGTTTGTATGCATGGGACCCAATTGGAATTGAGTAGGCAAGAGTAACCATGTCGGCATCACAACATGAGATCTTCGAAACAATCTCCAAAAACTCCAATAATTTAATAAATTTAGACACAACAACTATTTCTCTTCATCGCCTACGTACTTCTTTTTCTTATCGGATGTAACCCACATTCCACTATGACAAATCATTACAGGTACTTCCCCCATGTTTTGTTCCACAAACTTGAAATTACAAATAACATAGGTGCATCAGAACTAGTAAACAATCGCGATTATGATATTAAAGTATAGACAAACACACCTTATGCACAATATATGCCCAACCTATGCACATAAGATGTTCAACATATACACACCATATGCACACCATGGACAAAATTGGTCAAATCTGTGGAATGCCACACTTCAAACAGAAATTGGAACATACCCACCATATCCATAAATCATTGATATAGAAACTTGGAAATAAACACTCTACCTTAGTACCCTCGAAAATCGAGCACAAATGTGCCTGCCGAACCTTCAGTCGCCAGAAGAGATGAAATTTTAGTTGAAAGAAAAATTTCTTGTGTTTGGCAATGGAAATTTTTTTTCTGCTAACACATAAACAAGAGACGGAAAAATGGCAAGAACACGGCAAACCTTGGAACAATGAGCTATGGGCCTAGAGACTATCCTAACCAAGGTCTAAAATATCGATGATATTGGAAATATCGGTAGTCCAAAAACACAGAAATTTCGATGGAAATATCGGGATATTATCGATATCGATAAAAATTGAATAAAAACCACGGAAATTGTAAGAAAAAATTGGAAATTTTTATTGAAACTTTGCAGGATGTTTATTTAGTCAATTTTCTATTAGTTTATCACAAAAATTGGAAGGAAATGCATTGCATGATGGATTTAACTGATTTAAGTTGATTATATAGCGAGCTGGCAAACATTGTGAGTGCAGAAAATATGTAGTAATTAATGAAAGAAGTTTAAACACACCATAATCATTTATATATAATGAATTAGTACAATATTTTACACTTTATACATTGCATGGTAAGATACATGAGTGACTTAGTACCACATAGAGTTCCTATCAAGGTCTAAAATATCGATGATATCGGAAATATCGGTAGTCCAAAAATACGGAAATTTTGATGGAAATATCGGGATAATATCGATATTTTAGACCTTGATCTTAACCACCTCACCTTTATGTCTCATCACCTTTATTGTCAACTTGGGTTCCCTCCAAAACCGAAAAACTATGTACAAAGAGAGGGAAACCTGGAAAGGTCCCTCAAATAATAATAATAATATATTATAAAGGTAATGGGTTTTGTTTGGGTACTTAGTGATATGTTACCTTGTATATAAGGTAAAGAAGAGGAAGATTTTTTTCTTTCCACAAATTGGAAGCAATATTGAAGTTGGGACAAAAAAGCACTGCTACGGATTCCTACAGCTTTTGATCCACATCATGCTAAAAAGGCATTCCACTTCTCAGATAGCCAAACAATTCACAACACATAATGTCCAAGTGGAGACATGAAGACATGACACTAAGGGTTTTAACACCGAGTTAAAACTGTGGTACAACCTCGTTTTGTTAACTATTATATGGTGATAACAATATTGTGGAATGTATTTGCTAACTATTATAATAATAAACAATCAAGACTACATGTGTTTGTTATCTGAACTGCATTCCATGTCCTAAAGTACCTTAATGTAAAAAATACGAAATATGTAAATATACACTATATACATTGTACATACAACGTAGATGACATAAACACTATATCACTGTGCACACGTCATGCAAAGGATATGCACATGTCATGTACATACAGTGCACATGTCAAGCACATAAAATATATATTATATGCACATGACAAGAACATAAAATATACACTATATGCACATATTATGCATAAAATTGGAGATTGGGCAGCGAGTTGCTTCTACCATTTATAAGACACCATTTATGTCATGGTATTTGTATAGTGGATACAATTACAACATAATGCACAAGGATCACATATATCCAAAAGATTGCAATTTGCACATTACACAACTCACAATGTCAAATTATTCAACCAAAATAATCATATCATATGTAACGATAGTAGTGTGTACTTTACAATTCACAAAGTCAAAGTGTATACGTGTATACGTGTAAACCAAAACATTGACATATGGCCGCTGCAACAACCCCAATATGTTTGCCTCAACCACATAACAGAAGACGATGATGGATGGTTAGATATCGACAAACCCAACTGATCAAACAACAACAGCCATTTCAATAACTTTGTTGAAATCCACTATTTGATATGTGATATCATCAATCCCAACAAGAAAAATTCAAATATTTGACTACGAATCCTTAACAAGCCAGTCAATGACCATTAATGTTTCTAGAGTTCTTAGAGGATATCATGAACTAACAAACTTCCTTAATGACGATGGATTTCAAATCCCTAGAGAGCAAAATACAATGGTCAACACACAATTCGTGTGTAAAACTAACACAATTCAAATGTAAAACAAACATATTTATATGTAATAAATAACACAAACATCGATCTGTTCAAAGTAAACCACCACAATGGGCAACCGTATTCCTTACAAAGTATGAAGAGGTTCGTTTACATTTCTTATGACAAACCCTCTTTAGATAGAACTTCCTTTTGTGAATCTCGTTATGTACTACCAGCAGCGGAATACCATTTAGTGATGCCTTACTTAAGAGGTCATCAAGTTCTCTTCTTCAGACTTGCAAGTTATCACAATTAGCAGCAACCACAACATAACTGCAACGTGAAAAAAATGGACAAATTCAACATAACATAAAGTTGGTTTTGGAAGATACAACATCTTATGGAAGACTGGCAATCGTATCATTACATATGTAAACAAAAGACTAACAATTCTAGTGTCTCACCAGCAATAACTACAATGTTTACTGTCATAGTTGGGAAACAAAAAAAAAACATTCAAATCATATGCCTACGAACTGTACAAGTAAGCAGAAACATACACAATAGAAGAAACATCACAACATTATTTTTCCCGCATGATTCGAAACTTGGCTTAACCACCAAGATCCATAAACTTATTGTTGACATTCCATTTTCTTACTTTATTCATCCAACCTGTACAGAAAAGAGATTGCCTCAAGTAAGATAATTGTGCCAATGCAAATGCCTTAAGTAAGATAATTATGCACTCCGTGTACAATTTCTTACATATTGTACTAACACTTCTAATTCACAAACTTTTTCAAACAAACACCAATTCGAGATCGAATTCACAAATATTTGCAAGTTCATAACAAAATTAACAAATATTGAGCATCAATTAAAATGCAAAACTCTAAGATTGAAACCCAGAAATCTAAAATAACAAAACCCATAAACAAATAAAATTTGCAAAACACATTTCATGCCCTATCTTCCCCATTCCTCTTTTGTTCGACTTCCCATCTATGCAAATCCAAAAAATCTAATTGAACAAACTAGTAACTAGTTGTAGAAATGGAGACAATGGCCGAGTTTGAGAGAGAAAGAGATGAGAGACAGACAGATGAACCTAATGGCAGTGGAAATATGGCTGTCGAAACTTCACTGGCCGGAACTTTTCGGCCAAAATGCAAAATTTGGTACAAAAATCATATCTTTAAGGATGAAATATTGATGCAAACGAGAAACCCTCACTTCGAAGCTTCACTCTCGACTTCCCTCTATTTGAACTTGGAGCTTAAAGATTTCAGCTCAACCTAGAAACCTAGAGCTCACAGAGCTCTCAACATCCCTCTCCAACAAATGAGAACAGTGATGAAATAAGTTGAGGATTTTCAGTATTTATATGTAGGCATTTTAGTAATTTCGGTTTTGTGCATGGTGTGTATGGCATGTGCATGGCCGGTTTGTCCTATTTCTATTACAAGATTAAGAAATTGTCCAATTTTGGGGTATATCCCTTTCTTCTGTGTCTAGAATACTCTTTAGTTTCGTTAATTTTTTATCCAACCTCTCTCTAGACTCTCTGGAGAGTTCTTTTCTTCCTTTAGTTTCATCCCCCATAACACTCATTTTCTCCATCATTTGTCCTGCAAAACCACAACCTTCAAAATCATTTTTCTTGTGCAAAATCGTCCCCAAAACTACTATCTCCTCCCTCTTTGTCTCTCCATTTCTCTTTGTCCCAAAGCTACTTTCTCCCCTTCTCTATCCATTTCTCTGAAATTTTATGGGAAAAATGAAAACTTTCTGGGAATTTTCGAGAATAAGGACAAAATTTTCCATTAGGATTGTTGTTGTTAACGTTTTGCATTTTTTTGTTGAATTTTGTGTTGGGATTTAGGCAGTGGTGAGGCTAGGTTTTATATTTGGGAAATCGGTTGACAAATGGAGTTGCCCAGAAGCATGCTTGCGGATTCGCAATGTGCGATCGTTTTTGGAGATGGGATTAGCAATCCCTTGGTTTTTTGTGGGGTTTAGCTAAGACCTGCTAGTCCCTCCTTTAATCGAAGCAAGTGAGAGCTAGTATCATTAAACCTAGGCCCTACATGAAACAAACACGAGACTGGACTAAGGGTTAGTCCAATCCAGTCCAGTGAATTTTAGTGAGGGAAAACAAACACTCCCCTAAGGGAGTGAACTAAGCATGACAATAGACTGACTATAGTGTGATTCAAATTCACCTTTAGTAAGAATTGAACCTAAGACCTCTCACTTATAGGTAAAGATGAATACTACAAGACCGTAATACTAACATCTAATTAGTTGTTAGGGTAGGGAAACCAGCGGTTATTGAACACGCACCAACTGCATAAATAGGATTGTTTTACGTAACTACAATAAATCCAAACCACTACACTTTAGAAACTAGAGAATAATTACATATCACAAGTGCTTAAAAATGGTAAAAGTAGATACAAACTTTGTATTACAAAGGAATGAGGAGGAAAGAGGGAGAGACGGGAGGAATGAGCTGAGAAGAGCCGAGGGATCTGGTTGTAACAGATTTAGCCTCTTCAGACAGGGTTCCTTACCCCCTGAAGAATCTCGTTGCTACGTGCTCTGCAATTCCCATGCTTGAAGTTAAACCGGGCGACTCTATTCCAAAAAGGTTGACGAGACCAGTTATCCCATGAACATCCTCCCCCTACATAGCCGTAAAATGATATATCATCAGAACTATCAATGTTGTACTCTACTGAACCTCTTCATCTATATAGCAAACATAGCACCTACAAGTGTAAGATAGTGTCTTTAACACGTTTCAACCATATAAAAATATGACAAGACAGCTCCCCACACTACATTGAGTTTTAGAAACTAAAACCAGAGATTTTCACAGGCCAATTTGTGCTAGGTGCTGTGACAGCAGTGAGATGGTTTTATTAGTTTATCACAAGATCTTGGGCAAAAAAGAAATTGATTGGCTCAACAGAAAAATCAGTACCATGCACTTCTGGTTGTGTAGTGTATATATCCAAGATTTCAGGTTCAGGCGTAGGAAAAATATCCAAGAAACTACCTGTATCTGAAAATCAACTGGAGACTGTCGAGGACCTGAAAGCTTCGGTCGAATCCCTGCATAGCCTGGCTCAAGAGACCCATCCTTTAGATTTGGGTAGTACTTCCTTATCTCTGGGTAAAATAGCTCTTTGCGATTCGTACATACAGAATAGTCAAACCTGTGACCAACGCCTTGTCATGTTTTTAAGATTGTCCAACATCACACTTTAAGATTGTACAACATCACACTCAACATCAGATGCACCTCAATCAGGTCATTAAGATTTTAGCCTAGAAGTATTAAGCATCCGAACAAACATGGGAACGTATATAAGCAACGATATATCCTAAAAAAACTCCCTAAAGAATATTGACATTACAATTTACGGTTCACCAGAAAATAAGTGACTAGGACCTCCATTTGATCATTGTCTGAGGCGACAACATTAGTACCAAATGCATGCTCTAATGAAGCCTAACTTATGCAAGACACCAGAATTTGTTTCAACATAGGAAGGCAACATAATTTATGCATACAAATATAAATAAATAAAAAGGCTTAAGGAATATGCTCTTCTGTACAAGCATGGATAGAAATTTTTGGACTGAGTTGCGACCACTTAAACCAATAAACATAATGGACAATGTAGACAGTACTACATAATATAATAGAGTGGACAACAGGGATAAAGAAATGGTACTTATTCAGGAAGCTTGAAACATCATCAACACCATCAATCCATTCTACATCAGGGCCAAACTTGACCTGACCATTTAAATCCAGGGTAACATGCACACCAAGTCCACCATCCTCTGGTAGAGGATAAATCAAGTGTCTGAACGGACAGATTGTAGTATTTGATAAAGTGAAGTAGCATCCACGAGCCAAACGGGAAGGAGGAATATGTTCAGTTCGGAGGCCATCAAATCGCTTTGCAAGGGCAGGGGCACTTAAGCCGGCAGAGTTCACAACGAGTTTAGGAATAAGTATCATCTCTGGTTGCAATGGAAACTTTCTATTCCAATTTTCAAGGGTTTTGGTTCCAGAAACATGAAGGCATAGATGATTTTGTTGAATATGGCCACCAATAACAGTAGTATTATAGGAGAAGGTTGTGCCATGATTTTCAGCTTCTCCCTGCACCCATATGGGGATTAACGGTGATAGATACTACATCGTATAAAATCCAATATTCGATTAAAGATCCCGAAATTTTATCTGAAGCATGTACTTGAGTTGATCCTAGTGCAACTAATATAGGAAATGAGAAAGAAGAGAATGGAAATACCACCAAAGATAGCATGAGCGAATGTGTATCCACAATCCCAGAAAGCGGTGATAGTAAGGCTTTCAAACATGCCAATTCAGGTTCCATTCTCATGGCTTCTGAACCCTCCATCATTACCAAACCATCAACTCCATTTTGAATCCCGCGATGCATTAGATTATGCAAATTGGGAATCTCAGAAGACCCAGTTGCAACTATGAGTTTACCAATTTGTTTATGAGGAATATTGTGTTCAGAGCAATATTTGTACAGTAAATATCTTCCCCTAACACAAAACTTCGCCTGCCAAATGCATTAAAAAGTTAAAGGATATATTGTGCTTTCAACATTCAAATTAAGAATTGGGAATTTCTTGACATTAAAGTTTATGACTTTTATATTTGATTTTGTGGGTACCTTGAGGGAATGGGTCGGGTAGTAGATGCCGGCATGGATGACCTCGCTGTTGCGGGAGCTGGTGGAAGTGCCGAAGGTGGGAGCTGAATCTAACACCAACACCTCTCTGCCCTTTAAAGCAAGCTCTCTCGCCACTGCCAATCCCACCACACCTGCCCCTATTACCACGCAATCTACCTTCTCTTTGGGAACTCCGCTGATGCTACTGATACTGATACTGCAACTAGAAGTAACATTACGATGACTCCTCACAATTCTGTCCAATGTGCTTTTCAGCATCTTTCTCTTTCTAAAACTCAACCGGTCCTCTCGAATGGACACTTAAAAGTTTCACATGAACACGCCTTCGTTGAATTTCACTACTTCCACTAGAAATTCTATTCAGCGAAAAAGAAAAACCAAATTTCAAATGCATATTAACAATCCGAAAAAACTTGATAGTGTTGCTATGATGAACAAGAATACCAAAACATTATCTATACATAAAAAACAAACTTGTCCAAATGGGGTGATAATCACTCCTCATTTCCTCCCACCCAATATTTTGGTACATATCATGCATGTCAAAGGCTATAACCTTTATATGAAAATGCAATTAATTCATAAAGAAAAGATACTACAACAACAACAACAAATCATTTTCCCACTAAGTGGGGTCAGCTATATGAATCCCAGAACGCCATTACGTTTGGTACTGTATCATGTTCTCTGTTAGATCCAAGTGCTCTAAGTCTTTTCTTAGGATCAATTCATAAAGAACAGATGAACAAGAAAATTAAGACAAGGAAGCATCCACAAGAACCCAATATCACTGGCCATTTCATTTCCTATTCATCCATCTTGATAAAGATAAACAAACCATCACAAAAACCTAAATCACAAAATTATATTGACAGATCCGGACAACTGCAATGAATACCTAATACCTCCTGATTCGCTTAGAACTTTCGCAACCTGAGCTCGCGACGATGGGTTTTCTCCTTTTCTTCCGCTCGTCGGTTGTCTCTCTGTGTGGATGTTACAAAGGGAATAGTCGAGAGAGAGAGAGAGGGAGAGCATTTAAAAAAAATGAAAATATAATATAGATTGGGGTTTTGGTTGCAGAGCACGAGACAACTAATTGTCCAAGTGGGCATTCCCTTTCTCTGTTTTTCTTTTTCAATTGTGCTTTAACTAATATTAATAATCTAATAAAAACTCAATACTAACATAAACAGATTGTACGGTAAATTAAATTAAGGGAACTTTAACGAAAAGCACCTCATACTGTTTACTTTAACGAAAAACTATATTTTTACACTAAAAAATCAATCATGGTACTATTCACTTTACCCTTTATTTTGTCCTTATCATTAAAACTCAAAGTTTTCAAGCCCTTTTCATTAGTTTTCCTTTAAATTAAAGCCTAGTTAATTAACAATTAAAACAAGTTACACATGCTTAAAAAAATAATCATATTATTTAACAGTAATTTAAATGAGGGTCTTCACACTTTACTCTCCTAAAACAAAAATTTGGTCATTGAAATTTAAACTTACCGGAATTAGAGAAGTATGTGTACTTCATACGCATCTCGGTATCTAATTCCCATGTTGCGTCCTTTGTTTCTCCGTGTAACAACAAATTTTTTACTAACGGAATTGTCTTAGTGTGTACTACTTGCTCTTTGTAATCTAGTATTTAAATCAGACTATTCATGAAAGCTCCCTGAAAATAATCCAAGGATGAGGCCTCACTAGGTGAAAGTGAAATGGAACCGAATTGAGAAGTGAAGCCTAATTCGGAAATGCACCTATGCAGCCGCGCTAAGTGAAACCAATTTGGTTTTGACTACTCATCTAATGACACATGTATATAACTGATAAATTTAAATAATTATTTATATTTATAGTTCGGTTCAATTATAAGCGGTTCTACTAAGGTGAAAACTAGAAGCAAAACTAGTATGAACGGTTCGGTCCAATTCTTGAACATAAATTGACTTTTTTTTTTTTGTCAATATGGTTTTTTGCAATTTGAATCGGTTTCTCGATTCCACAGGTTTTATGGCCACCCCTGTTCCTTTCCACGTAATTTGATTGGTTAGGGTCCGCAAGTAGCTGTGAACTTGAATGGCGTCTAAAGGCTTGCATTTCATTTGTAACACTATTTTCATGTTATAATTTTGATAGATATGATTCTTGTAAAAAAGTGTCACCAAAAAAAAAAAAACAAAATTCCCATTCGTTTACGGAAAAATCCCAAAATATGTTTACAAACAAAACTTGAACGCCAGCAAAAGTTTTAGCAAACTCACAAGTGAAATAACAGAATTACTTCAGCAGTTCAAAAGGAGAATGTGCATAATAATGTAAGTGAGACTCTGTTTCTCAAACATCCTACAGATGTGGTTTGCACCACAACGTCGGTAAATTGAACATTTTAACGTACAAGAAATACTGCAGCAGCCCAAGTTGGCTAATGAAAATCCATCAATCTTATCTCATTAACCCTTTTCTGTTGATGTTCTTCTAGTAGGGTTTCAGAATACCAACACATTATTTCATCGGCTTCTTAATCTGCATCCATTTCTTCCAATGCTGCTTTAGCCGCTGCCTTTGCTTCCTCTAGAAGCTCATCCGGAACCTGAATAACCAATAACAAAATCATCAATCTACAGTATGGCAACACAGCCTTTCAAATATAACTACCAAAAAGGGAACACAACCAACAAAAACAACGAAGGCAAAAAAAATTATAACAGTATGAAGTAGCTAACAGAAACAAAGAACAACATCAACAACAAAACCTTTTCCCACTAAATGGGGTCGACTGTATGAATCTTAGAACGCCATTACGCTCGGTTCTATGCCATATCTTCCATTAGATCCAAGTACTCTTAGTCTTTTCTTAGAGTCTCTTCCAAAATCTTCTTGGGTCTTCCTCTACCCCTTCGGTCTTGAACTTCTATCCCGTAATCTCATCTTCTAACCGGAGCGTCAGTAGGCCCTCAATTTAAATGCATCAGAACCTTCCGTGCTAAATCATCAAATTTGATAAAAGAAAAATGTGGAGGTATATAGCACACAAGTTCGGTGAATCAGTAAGCACTTCTAGCTAGGAATCACACACAACTCAAACACCACAAACTCTAAATCATGTACTGGTTGAGATGACTTGCGTTTTAATGGGGAAAGAGACTAAAAACAGCAACTAGGCCTTCAAACGAGAAGCACCACATTTTTCTGAGCCACCAAACGTATGAGCGGATACCGTGCGGTCGCCCACTCGCAAAGATGTCACGGTCACATGAGATCCAACTGCAGTCTTATGAAGTCGCGGAGTAACCACAGACATAAGAGTGGCTCAACATATACCTGGTGAGTAGACGCAGAGATAGCAGCACCTAAATCAAAAAAGAGGATAAAATCCGTAGTCAAAATCAGTGTTTTTATAAGTGAAATACAGGAGAAGACATAGGCGAGACGTCTTCAATGAACAGTCAAACTCCCTGGGCTCTATGGAAGAGGCAACTTGTGACGTGCGTGAGATGTGAGATGCCTCCATAGAGAGCACCATAAATTTGATTAAAGATCATATACCCGTATAGTTATAATATTATAGAATAGTGAACAAATATGAAAGTATATCTTTGCAAAAGACAAAACATTCGCTTCTCTCGAAGCCATTTCAAAAGTCCACAAGTCATAAACACAGTATATAACTACACACAGACCATTAAAAATAAAGACATCATGGTCATCCACATATGCATTCACATACATCCGACAATAAAAAACAAACACAAAACCCACATTGAACAACGAACAGTCTACAACTCTTCCGCATCGAGGTAATATCCACCCAATTCCTAGTTTTACAATACTGAAAGATGGTTCTTACACTGCAGCCCCCACCCACCTCTCATTTCCACACAAGGTAACACTCTTTTTACCCTGATAGCACTACAACTTCCGCTCCATTCACGAGTCCGGGTGGCAAGAATACTCGTCCAGCAGCTTTGGAGTAAGAGTCGTTACGCGAGAGCTCGAGGGGTTTGCCGAACAAATATACACAGAGGAAGAAGAACACGATGGCTGTCGAGGAACTCGAGTGAATCGAACGAAAGTATAGGGAATCGACATAGACAGCTTCTCATAAGAATAACCAGACATAAGAAGAAAGGGATTGACAGTTATGGTGCCGCTAAGAGCACACCTCGATCGACCGTTCTAGGTGGCGTTTCTTGGCGCGTATCTCACCCACTGCATAAGAGGCGGTTCTGTCGAACCAGCCAAGCACCCAGTCTCTCCCAAAGAAGCTCTGGCTTACGCACGCCTTGGGCGTTTTTTTAGTTACACCGCAATAGCAATTGCATTCGAAGAGGAATATGCATAGGGGATGCGTGTGAAAGCACTTCCCGAATCTAAATCGTGTTATTAGATACTCTTCCTCTGTACATAAAGCTAATAGTTCAGATTGAGAAAGTTCAAAGTTAACCATCAAAGATGAACATCCAATGGTCATCAGGCTCTCTCTCAACAAACCATGATGTCCTCATATTTAGTGTATGGCTAGCTAATAGAAGGTTGCAGTACCATTATGTGAGAACTACTTTCGAGTCATCATTGTTATATAGGTGCTGTAACAAATTACTAGCATTCACTCAACTCGCCCATAATCTCGGGCCTGGATTGTGGGCTCATTGCAAGTAGATCGACCCATGCCGGATTAACCCAATGGCGTCAATCTGATCGGTGATCCTTCCGAAAGCTTAGCAGCTATGTGGAGCCTACATGACTTAGCACACTTCCCAACAAATGTGAACGCCATCGGTTGTTGGTTGCCTGAGACAATCATGAAACTTTCAAAATAAGTGGAACACTACTGACGGACAAATGGAAGGACCTATTTAAGATTAGATAACCGTAAAGTCATTACAAATGACGAAACGCGTCTGCTCGAACATACCTAACATAGTTGTCAAAAGTGATAGAGGTGATGCAGTGTAAACACGCATAAGATTTGAGACAAAGTCATAATGAACAATAAAAAAGGCCCCTTATGTCAGTTTAACAATTACGTTTTATATATTATAGCAGTGTACGCTGATGATGACGTCTCGGACAATGATTGAAGGGAATCTAGACTAACTTCTCGATCGACGGTTATGACCCTCTGTCACAGCGAGAACACTCAACAGTACGCATTATCTACAACTCCACTGAGCAATACACTCATAGCCCTTTGCGCTGATAATGAAAGTTATTCTAGCCATGTACAATATGTGCTGTTGTGCAGTCTTAAATCTCCTGCGAGTGAGCACCACGACTGAACTAAAGCAGCACTATTGAGTATAAGTACCATGAAGGGAAGAGTTCACTAGATTAAGCTCCACGAGCATCACCTACGAGTAATGTGGCCTCTCAAGAATACGATGATGCTACAATATTGCTGATCTCAAGTGCAAATTGCTGGCTGACGAGCGTGTAGCAAGATGGTATCAATGTGACACGCAATCGTAACTCATGAGTGAGGCTCCTACACGCTACAGTTTTAGATCCACTCATTTCACAACAAGCAACTTTATAAGGATTGCCACGAGTCGGCGCATTACTAAAAAACAATCAAGGGTGCTTAAGGCCCTAACATGAAGTCCATCTCATAATGAAGAGACATATCCCAACATGTACAGCGGAAGGAAGGACAAACAACAGACAAACCGAACACGGAATTGACCCATCCTTACACGGTAACGATCCAAGGAAAAGTCAATAATGAATCAAAATCTAGTACAAAACTTGAAATATTTCATAACGAAACACCAGTGTGATAAGCCACGAACATCCCAACACCTGGCCTACGTTAAATGGTGAAGTTCTCCAACCGGTTTGCAGAAGAGGTCGTTATACGTCAGTAACAGTCCGTTCAGGTAAATCAAAACAATTAGTAACAATACGTAGATGTGGTCGGCTGTAGAAGAATGCTATAATGAGTGCGAATATATAGGCACTTTTTGTAGCTTATATAAAATTTTGTATATCATGTGAAGATAAAACCATATGAATACCTTCATTCTTCGTAGATCCTCTAATAGACCGGCGCTA